TGTGTGTGTGTGTGTGTGTGTGTGTGGGTGGGTGTGTGTGCAGGGGGTCTTGCACACTTCTGCAAGAACCATCCTATAGGCCTATAGGCAAGCATCTCAACATTACCATGTTACATGAGTCACCCCCGCCCCTTTTCCCATTAACACCCATGCATTTATGACATTCCCCAGTTATAGTTATAAGCACTTTAAGGTCATGCAATATTATTATTATTTATTTATCTTTGCTCTGTGATTGTGTAGTGAGAAGTGAGAAGGGTTTGCTGCTATTTTGCACCCTGGACACTTAATTGTGTGGAGTCCAGAAGTTGACACACCCTGTGCAAAATCCACAGCAGACCTCTGGAAGCTAATGTATTCTGGATTTAAGCTCCATTGTAAAAAAAAAAAAAAAAAAAAAGAAAAAAAAAAGGAACATGCACCTGACCTGCTCTGCTGCAGCTCTGCAATCACATCTGACTTCTGCCAGTTATAATCCAGTTATCATAATAATAATAATAATAATAATAATAATAATAATAATAATAATAATAATATCTTTGCAATCTGCAACTGCAAGCACTTTTTCCAGCCTTTTCCCCCCTCCTTTTTATCCCGTGTCAGTTTCTCTTTGACATTGCCGTGTACTTTGCAAAAAGAAAAAAAAAGAAGAAGAAGAAGGAAAAAAGGAGCGAAAAAAAATCTTTATCAAATCCCCATTCTGAGGCTTTCAATAAGGCAGGCCATTACCTCACTGGCGCTTTTGTTCGGCCTATACAAGAGAGAACAAAATGGTTATTCAGGAGGACGCTTTAGATTTTTATTGTGGGCTCGCTATTCACAAAGAGCACCGTTATTGTATTAAAAAGAACCATCTGTGGCAGAAACAATGGCTTCAAATTATCTGTGAATACCCAGTGAACAAAATATAAAGCTTTTTCCTGCTCATTATGTGGGCTAAGCTAGGGGGTGGAAGATAGGAGAGGAGAGGCACAGACTTTGCTATAACTGACTTTTGTTGTTCTTGCTTGCATTCTTCTCCTTTTTAAATCGGCCCCCTTTTCACATTGTGTGTCGCCATAAACGGCTTTTTCTTGTTGCAGGGCTAGCGGAGAGGAGACAGCGGAGAGCTCCAGACAGACGACGGGGCTGCACGCCGGGATCTGCACGCCGACAATCGCGCACCGAAAGCGCACGGACTACCAGGTGTTGGTGGTTGGTGGCTCGGGTCGGGGGGGATACGAACGGAAAGTGCGGGCTGGGTGCCGGCGACTGGAGCTCTGCCCCGGACAGGCTGAGGCTCCATCAGCGGTGGGAGAGATAGACACGAAGGAGGCTGAGCGACATGGCAACTTGTTTAATTTCTGCCAATCAAGACGAGAGGAAGACAACTCCCAAACTGGCAGTAAGTTGGAGTGCGGCGGAGTGGAGAAGCCCTGTGCGTGTTGGTGTGTGCGTGTGCGTGTGTGTGTCAGTGTGTGTGTGTATAAAACAGTGTTGTGGAATGACACTGCCTGGAATCATGAGCTTGACTGACTGTATGTGTTGTTGTCGGCCGGTTTGGTTTTCGTGTAGCTCAAAAATCATTTACATTTAAAAATTATTTAAATTGATTTAGCTTGATAAAAATATAAAAACACATTCTAATTTTTTATTTTAAAAACTCACGAGTATCATAGTATTTGCTCTGAGCTGTGTTCCAAACCAACCCCGGCTTATTGTTGTTACTTACAGGCTTAATTTACGCGCCTCTGTGCTTACTGTATTCGGACCGCCATAAATTTACAGTAAATCCACGTTTACATTTTACTTACATTTCACATTTTCTTACATTGTATCTTCTTTTTTTCATAATTCCTCGATGTCTTTTATGTTTAATGACATCAGTTCAGTTTTGCAATGTCTTTAAACTTTAGAAGCTTGACCATATAATCGAATTTATTTAATTCACTTTGACATTTTTAGTTCTGTCATTTAAAAAATCAACAGCAAATCGTGTTTAAATATTTAACCTGCTTGATTATATATATATATATGTGTGTGTGTGTGTGTGTGTGTGTGTGTGTGTGTAAAACAATCTCTTCATGTATTTTGTATTATTCGCGTTATTAATTATGGTGAAGATTCTGCTTAGATTATTTCTTGTTTGCTTCTTTAGCCCTTGTGGCAAAAAACAAAAAGCAAAAACAAAAAAAAGAAGTTTATTTCACCTGAAACAACAAATGTGGTTTTTATTTTGTTTCACTGTAACGGGAGTAAATCCCTTCATAGATTTTGCCATGTGTTGCATTTGAAAATTGTCACCGGTAAACTCTGATCATTGAGATCCTCTGTAGAAGGATTCTGACAGGAGATACTTGAATCATTTTCCACCCATACTTGTTTTTAAAAAATACTCTTGCAGAGATTACGTCACCTAAATTGGTGCAACCACATAAACAGCATTTTTAGCTTCACAGACCGCTGCGTGTTTGCAGTTTTTCACCCCAAACCTGGTGAATATACCATGGGGGCTTACAAGTGGTCCGAGGGGGCCGCCCCACTGGTTTCTCCCTTTTTTTCCTTCTTCTTCTTCTTCTTCTTCTTTTTTTTTTTTTTGTTAAACAAATTCAGGATGATTGCGGATGCATGGGGCCATTCCCGACTGGCTGGGGCCTGCTTTCAGAGAACCGCAGAGCCCCGCTGTTCCTTTATTATCATAAGCAGATTAGAGGTAGGGGGAACACACTCAGATGCAGATAGCAGCCGAGCGGCCCATTTCAACCTTGCATTAGAATGGACCGAGCTGCATGTGTCGCCTCTCGCAGCCTTTTAAGCACAAGATGAATCTTATGTAAGGTTGCCGGGGGCCGGCATAATGAGTGCACGAGGGAAGGGGTGGGTGCGTGGGGGATCCGCTCCTCTATTTATTATCAAATGATTAAAAACAAAAACAACAGAAAATCGTCATAATAAGGCCCGATATGTTGACTTTCAGTTGGGATTTCATCTGGTTGAAACGGAATTTTTTCAGGTGTGTGGACTTCATCTCTCTTTAATTATCGTGACTCTCTGGCTTAGCGATCCAGGCCAGGAGATCTGTGACAGGTGACTCGGGTTTTTCGGAGCTTTTTTATTACAATATATTCAGTATATATTTTTTTGTCTAAGGGCGGTTTTTGTGATAAAAAAAAAATACTGAGGTTTTTAGACTCTTCTTTTTTAAGCATTTCCTTGGCGTTGAACTGAACTTCTAACTCATCCTCTACTCCCCTCAAGTTTTGCAGTCGCGTGTAGGTCCCGTGTTCTCCACTAGGCGGCACTGGTGTCACGCAGCACAGAGGCTCTGGGCACCTCAAATACAGTTTGAGCGCGGGGGGGGGCGGAGAGAAAGAACTAAAACAAGTGAAACTAACACTTCCAGCACAGACCCCTCCCCGCAACAAAAACTTTTTTTTTCCTCCCAGAGACTCTAAAGCCTGATAGTTTCGCACTCTGCGGCATGTGTTTCCCTACACGGTAATCTCGGCCTGCTTCGGCCTGAGGTGAAGCAGGTGGAGGCCGCTCTTTCCTCTCTCTCTCTCTCTCTCTCTCTCTCTACCCGCCCCCCCCCCTCCCCCCCTCTGTCTCTCACACACTCACACACACTTTATTTGGCTGACACGCTCGTTCGGGCTCACTGAATGAGCTGCGCCTTTTGTGCAAACACACTTTATCTTAAAATATTCCTCACCTTTATTTCTCCCCCTCCTCGCGTCCCCCGGTAAGGCCTTACTTCGCCCTCTCTCTCTCTCGCTCTCTCTTACACACACTACAAAGCCCTAACAACAACAGCAGCACTCGCAGTGGAAGTGACGTGGAGTAGGGTCTTTGTCCGGACAGATGTAGCGACAACATCCCAAACAAAAAAGCGCTTATTTGTGCTGAGATGAGCCCGTCTGCCTTCTGTGTGTTGGCATTCAACTTCACTAAAAGGGACAAAAAGGGGGGGAAACATCTTGGATTACCTTTCCTCTTTTCAACGCTAAAAACCAGCTCATAACCCCCCGGCCCTCCCTCCTTCATACGCACACACACTCACAAACGCACACACACACTCAGACACACAGTCATTCGATGCTTTGAGTTAACTAACAAAGTTTATTTAAGTGTTGTTGTGCTTTTGTTCTGATGGATGTGGGTGGTGGTGTTGGTGAGCGATTGTTGTAAGCGGAGGGGAATGAGTGACTTTTCGATTTTGGGGACGAGGGTTAGCTCCCGCAGGCTGTGGCTTGTGTCGGACGCTGTCTCCACCTTTAGGGTCGAATGATGCTGAACATGTTTGATAGTTGCGCATGTGCGTTTGACTCCCAGCTGTGGATTTGTTGTTAGAAGTAAAGTCTAAAGGCTCTAAAAATCATTTCCTGAACGTTTATACTGTCATTTATTCTGTTTAGTTTTTTATCCAACTTTAACTTTCTGTGTGGGGCTAAAAGTTTGCAAGCAGCCACTTTCTCGCTTCTGCATCACGCGCTCTCTCAGTATGAAGTGTGGAAATAATCATCAAGTGCTCCCATTAACATGTTCCCACAGAAAAATCCCCATCAGCCTGGAAATAGTAAATATGTACTTGGTATTGGCCATATGGGCACCCTGTGTATGTGTGTGTGGCTCTCTCTGTGTGTGTCTGGGGCAGGCAGACTCCGCCCCTTTATGCTAATTAAGGTCTCCCATTGGCGTGTCGCTGGGAAAAAGGCCGGCTCTGATTGGCCGAGTCGAACCCATTTATACGCTGACAGCCCCCGGTCGCATGAATGGTTGTCTATTAACTTGTTTCACAAACTATCCGGAGTTGTCACGGCTCGGCTCGGGCGGACAGAGGCGAAAAAGTGCGGGTTTGTTGACGCTCGTTTTCGGAGAAGCGACGGGAGAAGTTTTGTGGACACAACATTAGCGGGGAGCTGTTTTGGAAGAAGGCTCTCTCTCTGCGCGCTGAGAGGGAGAGAGAGAGGAAAACAGAGCGAGTGTCTGTGTGTGTGCGTGAGCCTGTGTGTGCGTGTCTCTGTGTGTGTGTGCGTGTGTGTGTATATGCGTGTGTGTGTGTGGAGAGAAGCGGCTTGATGCTTGTTGTTTTTGTCCAGAGAAAAGTTGCATAGAGAAATCCCGGCAGGTAACTTTTCGCTGCAGCCCTGCTCGCTCCTCACTGTCCGCTCCTTTGGCTGCTGGAGTTTTTCTCTTGGCTTCTTTGTTTTTTAACATTTTTTTTTCTGGGATTCAACTTTTTTGAAATTAAAAATCTGTTCCCGATGTATAACATGATGGAGACTGAACTGAAGCCCCCAGCTCCCCAGACCAACACGGGGGGCACGGGCAACACCAACACGTCCGGCACCGGCAACAACCAGAAAAACAGCCCCGAGCGGGTCAAGAGACCCATGAACGCCTTCATGGTGTGGTCCCGGGGACAGAGGAGGAAGATGGCGCAAGAAAACCCCAAAATGCACAACTCGGAGATAAGTAAGAGGCTGGGCGCAGAGTGGAAACTCCTGTCGGAGAGCGAGAAAAGACCTTTCATCGACGAAGCCAAGAGACTGCGGGCCCTGCACATGAAGGAGCACCCGGATTACAAATACCGGCCCCGGCGGAAAACCAAGACCCTCATGAAGAAGGACAAGTACACCTTGCCCGGTGGGCTGCTGGCTCCGGGAGGCAACGGGATGGGGACCGGGGTCGGGGTCGGGGCCGGGCTGGGCGGCGGAGTGAACCAGCGCATGGACAGCTACGCCGCGCACATGAACGGCTGGACCAACGGGGGCTACGGCATGATGCAGGACCAGCTGGGTTACCAGCACCCGGGGCTGAACGCGCACAACCCGAGCCAGATGCAGTCCATGCACCGCTACGATATGAGCGCCCTGCAGTACAACTCCATGACCAGCTCCCAGAGCTATATGAACGGCTCCCCGACATACTCCATGTCCTATTCCCAGCAAACCACGCCAGGGATGACCGCCCTGGGCTCCATGGGGCCATCCTCGGTGGTGAAGTCCGAGTCCAGCAGCTCCAGCCCGCCCGTTGTCACCTCGTCATCCCACAGGGCCGCCCCGGGCTGCCAAAGCGGGGATCTGAGAGACATGATCAGCATGTACCTGCCCGGGGCGGAGGTCAGCGAACCGACCGCCCAGACCAGGCTACACATGTCCGGGCACTACCAGAGCGCCGTGCCCGGGACGACGATCAACGGCACGCTGCCGTTAACACACATGTAAGAGACATGAAAGCAAGAAAGAAAAGGAGAGAGAAAGAGAAAGAACTTTTATAAGAGAAACTGTGGACTACTTAACGTTGGACTATTTTTGTACAGAAAAATTTCGGGGTGGGAAAAGTTGTATAGAAGTCTCCAAGAAAAAGAAAAAAGGGACACACGACTCTTTTTTATTTTGTCTTTTTTTTGTCTCACATTTTATTCTAAGGAAGCTCTAGAGGAACGGTAGGAGATCCCCCACCACCGCCACAGCCACCATCCCCACCCCCTTTCACTGACGGATGAAGTTTGGAAGACTTTAGAAAGTGGGAGTCGCAATCAAAAAATGTTTTATTATTGCAATCACCCTTTTGTACAGTATTTATCAAAGAAACATTACAATCAGACGAAATTTGTTTGTTAAACTGCAAAAGGTTGCATATTTCTTTTTCTATTTCTCTTTTTTTTCTTCGATTTGTTTCATTTTTCCTGTTTTATATAAAGCAACGCCAGTTCTGCAGATAAAAATATAAAAAAAAACAAAAAAAGTGAAAGATAGCAGAGCTGAAATTCTTATGGGAGCTCATTTAACACTTCACAACACTGGAAAGAAAAAGGGGACATGAAACGAAGCAGGTAAAACTGCTCTTTTTGTTGTTGTTGTTGTTTTCATTTTTAAAGGCAGCATTACTAAACATTTTATTTCTTGGAAAAAAAATATATATATATTAAAAAAACGACGCCTTTTTTGTTTTTCCTCTCAATGCAGCTTAAAATATAGGTTCTTAATTTATATTTCCGTCTCCCACTTTTCATCTGTTAGAGGTATATGACGCTTGTACTTTTTATTTTTTATTTTCTAATTGATTTGTACAATTTCTGTATATTTCCTGTGATATTTTAAGTTTTTATTTCAAAAAGAAGAAAAATTGTTTTGGGTTTTTTTTTTTTCATTCCCGTAGTTGTATTTTAAGAATTGTGGCCTGTACGCAGAACAGCCAACCACTCCATGTATATATACTGGAACTAATACCATCCTTATAACAGTTACAATTTCAGCTGAGTATATATTTTTTTTTCAATATGCAGTTTGAAATGAATAAATTTTGGAAATTTGGATACTTGAAATTGTTTGAGTTTTGATTTGATTCATCACTGGGTTTTCTTTATCTTGTTGTAGTTGTTGTGTGCCAGGCAGTCATCACATGTTAAGTTGTCATCTGTCTTCTTTTAAATGTGTACTGTAAATTCTAGTATTCTTAGTATTCTACTAAGTGCTTACAGAGTACAGCTTTGGGGCGACATGCCTCCTTTAAAGTCCACAAATAACTGTGCGTCGTGGTTAACCACGTTTCTATTTTCTAGTTCCTGCGGATGGCCACATCAAGCCCAAAGTTTGTTGCCTGTTTCCTAAAAAGTGGGGGGAAGATTTTTCCACCAAAATACCCATCATCCCCAGGTATAGACTGTCATTTCTCCTCTTTTATAATTATTACTATTAAGAGCCGGTTTACGGTTTGATGTTTTTTCTTTCTCTTTTTAAAAATGTAATATACAAACTACATTTTTTCCCTTTCTTTCTTTTGTTCTTCTTGGATTACTGGGCCTTCTTTTGTAAGGCTGATAGATGACTGATCATGCAGGAGCGCTAATGCCAGGCGCAGATCTGATTCCAGGTTATTTTAGATTAGAGAAGAGAATGTGTGTCATCCGTGGGTTTTTATTGTCTGCTGACACCGTGTTGCAGTGTTTTTTGTGTTTGTTAAGCAGTATTTTCAGCAGCTTAAACCTTTGAGTTCAGGCTTTATTTCCTCTCGTTCATTGAGTTTATCCAATAATAATGATAATACTAATGATAATAATAATAACAGCAACAATAATATCTATTAGTTTTGGAAGCTTTCTCTGTGTTTCTCTCACTCCTTTCAAAACACGGAGCTGGCTTATCAGGCTGAAATAGACCAATTAGGTGGAAATTGAAGGTGGAGCCCTCTTGAAGGGAGCCTGGCCGGGATGCTTTTTCCTCGGCCGTGTAATAGCTCCACGCCGATACTCGAGTGTGGTCATTTTAATTTTAATGTTTAATCAAACGGGCCCTGCTGTTTCCCGTTAACCCCGCTTCTCATGGTTCAAGCTCTCCGGTGACTTGCTGCACACCACCACCACCACCATCCACCCTTATCCACCCTCATCCACCCTCTGCCTTAATAAACAAAAAACAAAAAAACAAACGCATACAGAACAGACTCCAAAATAATCCACCCATGCACCTTTCTGCCAACCAGGCGGATTCCTCCCAATCATAATCATAATAATAATAATAATGATGATGATCCTTATGATGAGCTAACAGCTCGCCCTGAATTTAACAAACGGTTTTAAATCTGTGGGGGGAGAGTGTGTGTGTGTGCGCGCGCGCATTGGGCCGTTGTGTCTTGCAGGCTGTGTCCCGGGGGAGCGGCAGATGAAGAGGCCCCTCGGTATTCATCCGTCCAGTTCTCCATCTCCCTCCCTCTCTCGCTTCCTCCTAATCGGACCTTTCGCAGGTCAGGGGATCGTTGGGAGTCCCATTAATTATTGATGTAAACAGTTGAATCGGTTGTAATAGCCGAGAGCGCTGGTGATAAACAATTTGTTTTATTAATTAATTTATTCCTGCTTAAAAAAAAGAAAGAAAAAAAAGCAGACGCGTAAAGATCTCCTGTTATGTTTCCAGGAGCGCCGTGGGCCCCTGCAGGCCCACGGGGCCCCGCAAAATGATCATTTTTTTTCCCGGCTGAGCGTGGCACCTTTGATGTGATGGAGGGGAAAAACCTTTAAAAGGCAAAGAACACCAAACATGCTCGATGGGCAACTTATATTTTCCGTGGCGTGTCATAAGACCTGTGGCTGACTGGTAAAGACTTCCATGTGGACACAGGATGCTTGACTTGAGGCCGTGGGCAGCTTTTATTATATTATTATATTAATGCTCCTATTTTCTATTACTGCCCCATACCCAGCCACTTTTTTTTGTTTGTAACCCTTCTGTAAATGGTTTGCTCTCTGTGTGAGCGAGGCAGTCACAAACTAGGACACTGTGAATGTTCACTCGGAAAACACTGATATCGCGCTATCTCGGTAGAAAAATATTAGCCCCGCATTTAACCCCGCGTGCTTTCCAAAATCTGAGCTGGTCTGAGAGGCTCTGAGCTCCGAGCCCGGCGTTCCTGTTCAAACAGCACAGCTGATAGCGGGAATTAAGTGGCCTGCCTAAAACGTTACACCCCACATGTGGTGTTATTAGTCCACGGGGACGCTTTGAACGCGTCTCAGTGTTCAGATGTATGTTTGCTGCACTTTACGCAGTCAGGTGTGTTTTGTTTGGCCCGTGTAGGTTGAAGCTGGGAGGCCCGGTTGAGGTGTTCCCCTTCATCCTTTCGTTCACCCATTACTCCCCCATCCGACCGTTCATCCATCCATCCATCCACCCACCCATCCTTCTGTTCCTCGCGTGCAGAGTCTGGCTGCCCCAGCTCGAGGATATTTGGCCTGCAACAGGTGGTAAGCGCGCGCCTCCTGTTTTTTTTACGCCTCGGGTTAAAAAAAAAAGAAAGAAAAGAAAAGCAATAAGCTCTCAGATGTTATCTGTGATAACCTGGTGTGCGTCTGTGCCCATATTGACGTGCGTGTTCCGTTACAGAGGTGTTTCTATTAAATGCAATTAAAAATATATAAATTAATGACTGTAAAAAATAAAAAGCAGCGCAGCTTCTAACAGGACATCAAAGTGGAGCCGAGCATTTTGTGTAAACGCTGTGAAGTGAGCTCAGATTAAACTGGCTCAGCGAGGCCTGCTGGAATTTCAATGTAAATAAATGAAGAAACGGTGGATCGAGTCAGACCTGTCATTTATCCTGGACAAAATCCAAATCCCGTGTTTGTTGTTCAGATTATATTATTATTTATTATTTAATTAGGTCAAATGACCCACCTACCAAACGCGCGTGCACACACACGCAAACACAACGAGCTTAGTGGCCTGTAATCCCACGAGAGCCACTTTCCCTTTTCACCCACCACGCAAATAATAAGGGGGGGCGCTGACGTCACCCGCACATGAAGCGTCTATCTCCGTTTTCATAAAATCGCTGTATGATTTTTTTTTCTTGCAGGTTTTTTACAACATAAAAACTCTACCAAGTGTACACGCGCTGGCTTTGAAACCAAGCCGTTATTATTATTATATAGTTAATAACAATTATTATTATTTTTATTGTTATTTTTATTATTTTAACAAAAGGCAGACACAAGACTAAATGGGAAACATGTTTAGTAATAAACGAGCCGTGATGAGACAAAACAAACAGCCATGGATCTGTGTGTGTTTTTATCATTCTGTCTGTGTAACTGACGCCATGTTTAAATGTCGGTCAGAGCACGATCACGGTTCCCTAAATAAGGGGGAACCCGGCCATCCCCTTGTTCTCGGGCCGGGTGCGGGGTACGTGAAAAAAATTGGACCGCTTCTATAAATAATCCCAAACGCCCTGTTTAGATCCGTCCTCTCGTGTCGCGTCGTTATTCTGCATCCCTCAAGTCTTTTTGTTTTTTAAGGCTGCCTGACATCTCTGCCTGCATCACAGCGCAGAGAAGAGTTGAATAGCAAAACTGTCAGAGCAGAGAGCTGTCGTGTGTTTCAGCTGCCCGTGTGTGTGTGTGTGTGTGGAGCGCAGAGGGACTGAATGGCAGCCAGTAGCCTGCTGATCCAGCGCAGGTGCAGGGGTTCTCTCTCTCTCTCTCTCCCTCTCTCTCCCGCTACTGCAGTGAATAGGACCACACACTGACACAGACCAGCATGCCATCAGCCTCGCGCTGCTCTCGGCCTGCATTCTCAGAGGCTCGAGGCCTCTGCGACAGCCCCCACCCACCACCCCTCACTCCCTCTCCCACCACTTCTCCCCCTCCTCCCCCACCCCGTCACTCGTAGCTCCAGCTCCCGTTTATCATCTCCGCTCATTGATGCTGACAGCTTTATAGAGCGCCATCATTAAGGACATGCACAGTTTGAAGGGGGATCACGACTCTTTAGTAAAAAGCAAAGAAAAAATCCCCACAACCAAAACACCAGTGTCTCTGTTTCACCGTGCGGTGCCTCAGGTGTCCGCGTTTTGTTCTTTTCGTGTCCTCCATCGGCCGTGAACGCGCACGTACAAAACTTTGGAATTCACTCCCGTTTGCAGTAACATTAAAGTTGCTTGATTGTTGTTGTTGTTTTGGGGTTTTTTTTGCTTTACTTTCCATTGTGCCTAAACTCTTTTTTAAATATCCATCACTAACTGCATGTCATTACGAAATCTGCATTCCGTGTTCCCGAATGACACTTGTAAAACTCGTGTTTCACACCCACGCGGTTGCATAAACGTGATGTAGCCTACTCCTGCACTCTACTTACTTTGTTACTTTTTTAAGGCCTTTTAGAAATTAGCGCTGCAGGCCTCGCTTAAAGGCCTCCCGGGCTTCCTGAACCTCAGTGGAACATAATGTAAGGGCTGCAGATCGATTAAATTTTCTTGATTAAAGCTGATCATGGAACTGATCATATACGCCTCATTTTGCTTCTTGTATAAAAACTGAAGCCAGGATAAAGAAGGCTGGGAGAGGGATGGATACAGAGGGATGTGAATATTTTTTTCCCCTCTGGCTAAAACAACGTAAGGCCTGGCGCAGGTTGCTGTAGCCTGGTAGGAAACCTCTCTTGCCATGCGCTAAAACGGACCCGAGCTTTGCCACAAAAACGAGTAGAGTCGATAAATTAGAGGGCTCATTAGAGGAAACAAATCTTTACTGTTCACGGGCCACTTACAATATATTTGGAATGAATTCTAAACTCCATATATTTATATATATATATCGAATCGAATTTAATAATTAAGGATAACTTTAATTATTTTAATCTTTGTTTCCTTGCATGCCGGTTTAATGTAGCTGTACTTTCAGTCTTCATTTCTGTCATACACTCATTAAAAAATCTAGAAATAAAAAAACACACACACACATACAAAATGCAAGTATCAAAAAGCACATTGTCTTATAACTAATTCGAGTTAATACAGCCATAATGACAGTATAACGGCATGCTAATTGGC